GGCCTCGCCTCTCCCTCCCCCCTTTCCCTCCCGAGAAAGGATGGAAACAAAGGGGAGGGGGGAGCAAAGGGCGCGGACAGCAAAAACCGCGGACGTTACGTGCCTCTTCTTTACGATAGAAGCTCATTGCTCGTAGATTGCGATTTGCCACGGGCGTAATGAAGCCACGCCACCGGTTTCTGCACCGGTGAACGAGCCACCAATGCGATTTTCGATCGTCCAACTCGAGGAAGCCTCTCTCTCTCTCTCTCTCTCTCTCTCTCCTCGACTTTCCTCGACCTCCCTTCCTCCGCACCTTGGAGCCGTTCGTAAATTTTCTAGCGGATTCGACTCGCGAGTTTTTGCAATGTTGGGGAGGCGTGCGTTAATTGGACCAGTTTTCTGAACCGGTGAGAGGAGAACTCTTATGAGGGGGCAAGGGAAGAGAGATCGTCTCTCCGCGGTGTGATCGCGATCTCGAAAATATTTGGAGAATTGGCCGATTCGTGCAACGACGATTCACGATGAATCATTTTCAAAGCGGTTCGCGGTTTAGAATTGTAGTTGAAGATGTTGTGTGCGGCGTTATTGGTCGTCCCTCGCGCGAAAGAAACATTATTCCATTTGTAGCAACAGGTGCAATAATGGCGTAACTGGATCGATAATGACCGTGTTAGAATGGTTCGGAATGGTTCGCTCGAGCATTATGGAATTATTCATAAAGATTTCGAGGATGAACGAAAAATTTCTGTAATTCTGCGTAATGTTTCTATTAGATGGTAACCTGCTTTTTTTCTTCCTTCCCCTCTTTCGTAAAAGAAAAAACGTTGAAACGAGTATCTAAAAAACAAAAAAGAAAACAATTCGTCGAGAGAGAAGAAAGAAATGATAGAGAATAACTTTATTCGAGAAGTGCGTAACAGAACGCGTCGCTGGAAAAATCAGCGAACCGTCCAACCGTCTCGTTTCCTTTTAAAATTTAGATGAAACGCGCGCTTTACATTTATTTAATGTCACGGATGCATAATTCGTCACCGCTCTCTCGATGATGCGAATCTACCATACGTACGAATATGCGTATACACGTATACACCACCGCCGATACGCGATAATATATACACATACATGTAATATTTATCTCGCTCGTTTCATCCTCTTCTCCCTTTAGTACTCTTTCTCTCTCTCTCTTTTTTCTTTCCATTCCAATATTTTTATTTTTAATTTTTTTTTCCTTTTTTTCTTTTTTTTCTTTTTTTTTTTTTTTTGGTTTTATTTCGTTCGTTTTCTGTTTCAACAGATCGAGACCGAGCGACAGTTGTGACAACAGCGGCGCGAGATTCGAGCGGGGTACACCTTGCGTGGATGTTTGCGCGCGGACCGATGCCGTCCTGACAGCTCAGATAACGGGCGTGACATTTTGAAAAATTGAGGCCAACGATGCGAACAACGTCAACGAAATGCATCCCCGTCGTCCGTTTTCCTTCTCCCTCTATACATATATATATATATATATATATTTTTTTTTGTTTTCGTTTTTTCCCACCGTTGTACCGCGGACTCGACGAAGAGGGGGAAGGAGGAGAGGAGGGAGGAGGAGGAGGAGGGGGAAAACGAAAAATAAAAAGGGGGCAGGAGGGAGGGAGAACGCGAAACACAACGTAACACCGGTTCACCATTAACACGCTCGATATATCCAATTTTGAATTACGAGCGAATATTCGAAAACGCGAGACACCTTTTCCCCGCCCCCAGTGCAGGCGAAAACGCGCGGTAAGGCTTGAACGAACTTTATGATGAAATATTGCCAATATCGACTCCTCGACGTGTCGCTTTTTCACGGATAATTAGAAATCACATCTCAGAAAGAAATTATAGACGTTGTATATAACGTCATAATATGTTGCACGTTCTCTTAAATTCGGGGATATTTCTATATAATTCTGAAGTTTTTTTTTGAGGGAAAATTTTCATTCTTACACGAATAAAAAAAGCTCGGTTTCTATGCGTGGCTCGACGAAACATTTCCTATTCTCAATTGCGAATCTTTAATTTTTTAATTTACAAATCTATATATATATATATATTTCTTTGTCAATTTCGATAGGGTTGGAGAAAGAAATTTTCTCAATGGCAATCCTTATCGCTGCATCACCATCTGTATAAATCCAGAATACATTTCAAAAAGCGAGAAACTTCTCGGACAAGCTTGCTTACCTACGAGAAGGCTTTACCTGTAATAGACCCATTTTCCAAAAAAAAAAAAAAAAAAAAAAAAAAAAAAAAGAAAAAAAAGACCCTCGATCATACGCAGCGAAACACGAGCCACCACAAGAAAGGAAAGATCAATGAGAATCAGGGACAACGGTCTCGAAAAAGGAATCCATAATGGCAGGTCGACTTTGAGCCGAGCCATCGATGGGCCCGCGTGTGCGCGCCGTCCACGTCCACCAACGAATACACCCGAGTTATTTAAAAAGCCCACTATCCGTTATCTCGATCAGAGAACGCGAAGGGTCGTTTGAAATATTTCTTCCTCCGGTCTGCTCTCCTCGAAGGTCTGCCATTCGAATGGCCGCCGCGTCCAGCCACGAGGAAACAAAGGCGAACTCGCCGACTCCTCGTGTTCCTCTCGGCTTTCCTTTTCCTTTCTTCTCTCCTTCTCTTTCTCTTTCGCTTTCTTTTTTCCCCCTTTTTTTTTTTTAATTATCGCCTTCTTTCACACACTCGGTTTATCCCGAACTGAATCTTCCATTAGCCCTAGTATAATTGAATATGATAAAATTCGCAAGTAATAATATCTGCTCGCTTCAGGATACTCGGTGTATCGGCTTAATGCTCGTCGAGGAGGAAGTAATTTTCAAATTTCCAACGCTCGTTTCTTTCTTTTTTTCTTTTTTCCTTCTCCTCTCCCTTCCTCTTTTCAATTATCAGATATCAAAGCAATATCGTTGTATACAGTGTACATTATATCCTCACGGAAGGATATTTATCGTAATGTTTTCTTTTCTTTTTGATTTTCCACCGGCTCGTTCCCTCGCTTCTTTCTTGCTTCTTCTCCCACCGACAATTAAATGTGCCGTTTTTCCATCGTCATTCTTCGAAACGAACGTGTCGAGTGAAACGATGGTCGGATAAAATTGAACGATTAGCCGCGAATCAGCGAGGGGAAAAAGCAAGCGAAGGATAAACGAAGAATTCTTGACGAAAACAGCCATTTTTTGCCTTTCTTCGGAAAAAACAGAATTACTCTGACATTTTTTTTTAATTATTTATCCAATGGGATACAAAAATTTATTAATTAACCCAATTCGTTGTATTTTTTTTTTTATCATTTGTTAGCGTTCTCGTATGAGAGTAAAGCGTGCGAAATTTGGAGAATATTTTTTTGAGATTGTGTCACGGAAATGAGATATTATCATTCGTAAAATTAAAGTAAAGTCGAATACTCACCAGCGAGTCCACCTCCGGATCGGCGATGTAGTAAGGTTTCTCCTGTCTGATCTGTAACAGACGAGCACACACGTCTAAGAATCTTTAATAATTAGGCACAGTCGTTAATTGGAATATTAAAACTATAGATCGTATCAACAAATATGTTTGTACGCACGTTTATACCTCCATCTCTCTCTTGTACACCTGTTGACTCTCCCCTCCTACCCCCCCCTCTCTCTCTCTCTTTGATCCAAATGATTTCCTTTACTCGTGCTTTCTTTTAATTGGATCCCCGCTGTTCGATTCGTACGTGTAGAAACGGAAACGCGCCGGTGAACGCGATGGAATTCCTGCAAACACCGCGGCCAAGAAGGGCGAGAAGGAAGAAAACACAGAAAAACGGAATGGCATAAAGAGGAGAAGAGGCCAAAGAGGGAGAGATTCTCGAGCATTTTCATGGCGCCGCCTAGTGACGATCAGAATAGAAACAAAAGGGACGATGGCCGAGACTCTGTTCGATGCTCGGGGGATCCGCTCTTAATTGGACCCACGATGTTCTTACTGAAAGGATCGAGGAGAAAAAACGGAATGAGATGGACGACAAATCTCGATGGAAGTACCGGTTAATCTCGTGGAATCCATGCCAGATTATTCTCTCTCTCTTTCTCTCTCTCGGCCGACACCGAGCCAAGCCATCTGATTAAAACACGCTCGTACTACTGCCTCCAAATATCCTTCTATCGATAAGGAATATGGCGTTTCGTAATCTTCTAATTGATTCTCCTTACGCGAACGAAGATCGTCGATTCGAAATTCGAAAATCGCGAAGAAGAATCGGCGTGTTCGAGGCAAAAATGGCGCAAGAAGAAGAAGAAGAAGAAGAAAAAGAAGAAAAAAAGGGAATCCAACATTCGATTCGAGGAAGAGTCGTTACAGGAAGAGTATCGCAATGATTAAATCAGAGGCTGCCGACTGACAACGAAGGAATCCGGGCGGAAAAACGGGTGGAACGTTAAAATCGAGTTAACCGGTCGAGTCCCGCGACTATTGCGAAGAATTCTGGGAACGGGGCCGGAGGAACGTATATTCATGAGGCTGAATTCTGAATGGGAGTTCCTCTCGCATCGGGTGTATGGATAATGAAGGCGTCTTGTAAGCCGCACAAAAATACTGTCAACTCTTCGTAGGGGGGAACTAGTTCTTGCACTGGCCCCTGTCACCGTTGCTTTTTCGACGATCCCCAAGCGGCGACCTAAACGCCCGTTCAGGTATCCACGTCGATTACAAATTGTAAGCAGCCTCGTCCCCTTCTCTCGTCCCCAATTTTATTTTATCCTTACCTATTTCGACGTGTCGCGAATTGCATGCATGTATATATCATTGGGAAATTTTATTTTATATATTCAGGAAGGAATTTCACGCGAAGGAAATAAATGGTTTCCAGAGAGGGGTGGGTAAAGGAGAATTGGCGCGAAAGTTTTGCGCCTTTTATCGGCCTCGATCGAAACGACTGTATCGCGCTGATTAGAGGCAGGGGGGGCTGCCAGTGACAGCTAATTGAGTCCATGCATATGTATAAAGCGATACGAGCGCTATTAATGTGACGCTGGCCGCCGTTAAATATCCGAGATCCTCCATATTTATGGCGAATGAAACGAAATTAAGCATCGAGCCAGTACCATTGAACAGGCACTTTCTATTCCGAGCTCCGATAAAAATAAGAGCAAAGTTTTTACCTCGATCTTTTTAATTTTTTTTCTCTTATTTTTTTTTTTTCTTTTTTTCTTTTTTCTTTGTGAAACGAGGATAAGAATGAACCAGCCTCGCGTACAAAAATAATAAATATATATAAATATAAATATATATATATATATATATATTGTACGTCAGAGGAAAATTCCACCAGGATCAGGCTGTATCATCCGGCGCAAGATAAAAATATTGCGCGCGATAATATTTAGAGAATGCTCTCGTTCCGGCACGTCTGTTTAGGACAGGGTGGTATGCAAGTTAGCGGTGTGTGCGACGATCCTGCCGAGAGATATACGAAGCAGCTGCTCCTCCGCTGTGCCCGTGTTGCTCTTCTGGTGTTTCC